CAGCCAGCACTATTTACTCCAGAATGGAAAGGAAGGGGTGGCTTTTTGACTACGGAGAGCCAACATTCACTAAATCCACCTCCTGTACACCTGTTCAGGCACTCCACACAGAAGCACCCTTACATGCAGAGGCACCCTTCCAGGACTTCTCCTCCCAGAACTTTATTAAAAAGACAGTATCAATACAAAGGTGGAAGCTTCTGTTTCAAATGGACATTGGATTAAGTTTTCATGTTTAATTCTGTTGAGACACGTTACAGATAAAATTCAGGCCAACTGAAGGAAACATAGTAAAAAAAGCAATTGTATATTTTGTGTCTTTTTGATTACATTGTCTGTGAGAGAATTATTTTCTGATGTTTGTTCATCAGTTGCAAGTGTCTGATAGACATTTTAGTAATTACTTATTTGTTTGCCTTTTTCTACGAGCCACTTAATGCAAGCATTAAAAGTTTGGGTGGTTTTCATCATGCACACAGATCACGTGATAAACTTTTGGCACTTAACTGAAAAAAGCTGAACCCCCAGAATCAGTTTTTTGATTCAAGTATTCACAAATATGATTTCAAAATCTACTTCCCATGAATATTAAAACTGGATATTCATTGTTTCCATAGAGAGTCTTCTCAATTAACATATTCACTAGGATATTTATGGAAACATACACAAAAAGAGTGTGAACAGCATTAAAGTGAATCCATTTAAATACAAAGATGAGTATTTGCAGCCTTCCTTCAATTTATTTTATTGTATTTTATGAGGTGTTTGCCCAACTCTGGCTTCAATCATGTCTCTACAGATGACTTTGACTGAAATGAATTGTTAGGGAATGATAGTTGCCCAACACTGGAGTGAAAAGAGGACAACCAAGGAAAGCAAGTCCCAGGAAAGAAGGCAGGCTCTATTTTTTAAAATGCTACCCGAGCAGTTAAAAGAAAACAAAGTCAACTATTCCTTTACAGAGTCCCTACCAGATCTCGCATAACTTTCAATTTTTCATCTTAAGGTTACATTACTGGCTCTGTCTTTCCTGGGAAATATATTCCACACAGGAGCCCTACACACATGCTGTAGGATTTCAGCCTCAAGCGGATCCACCACACAGGGACTAGTAACATGAGTGTATTTTCATCCTGTCAAAACGGAGGTGACTGTAAATCTGCTGAGGTCACACAGCCACAGTGAACTTCTTTTTCCTTTTTTTTTTTTTTTTTTTGAGGAATCAGTAATCCAGAAAGCATGGTGAAATTACAGATCCAAATCTCCATTTTACATGACCTTCATGGTAAGGGGGAGAAGAAACTGCTTCATATGGCTTGGAAAATTAAGCTATTTATGGAGCTACCACTAGTTAGTGAAACTACTATTTTTTTCTAATGAAAATTCATCATGTATTATTTGATTATTTTCTCTTCCCTGTTTTAAATGCACTCCACCCTTCCTACTCTATTACTTTGTCTTTTGAATAAATTCTAAGAATGTTGGAATAATTAGCTTTTTCATTCAAAGTAACAGATAACTGAAATTATGCTGTCCTTGTGTATTATTAAAAACAACAGTAACCAGGTATATACAAAAGCCACAGAATATTCAATATCATCTTTAATATTCTTCTTCATAACCTTAATAGACATTTATCCATGATTAATGAGGCTTTTAGTAGCTACTGCTGTCACAGCTTGGGTAACACCACCTCCAATGAATATCCTAAAGGAAGGGTCTTACTGCAAGTGTCAAGTGACAACTGTGAAGTAGCAGGCTGCCATGCACTTTCTGACAAGAGAACAAAATCCAAAATAAAACCGTCTTAAGGAATTTGAAACTATTCAAAAAGCAGGACATGGGAACAGACTGCAGCAAGGCATATTTTATATTACAGATTGACTAACAAGGTTTTTTAAGGGTTTCTAATGTGATCCCACTCCCATGCTATGGCAAATGAATAACTTAAGTTCTTAGATATAAACACGTGGATGAGTAATGTAATTTCTAATTACATCAAGAACTTATGACGCAGACACAGCACTACAGATGTCATATCAGAGATTTGAGTCTAGAGCCCTGAAACATACAAAAAAAGAAAAAAATGCAGAAGAACAAAAAAATCCCCACAAAATTTTTTGCTATGGCAACCCAGCTAGGTCAATCTTTTTACTTAGTGAATAAAAGCCCACAGTGATTTTACTACTGTATTTAGCTATCTCCAAACAGAAACATTCCCAGGCCTGGCATGGCAGTTGGATTCACCAAGGGTAAATCATGCTTGACCAACCTGACTGCCTGCTGTGATGAAATGACTATGAATATATGACCAGTTGGTGCAATCTTCCTTGAATTTAAGCACAGTATTCCTGTATCCAAGCGGGGATTTTACCCTGTATATGGGTGGACTACTAGATGTGTGAAAAATTATCCAGAATGTTGGGCTCAAATAGAGGGGTCACTCATTCATGGTGTGTCTGCAAGTCCATGTCTTCCCTGTCCTTGGACGTTTTCAAGACACTGTTGAATACAGGCCTAAAAAATGTTGCCTGATTCCAAAATCCACATTGATTTGAGCAAGAGTTTAATTAGAGAACTCTTGAAGTCCCTCCCACACTGAATAATTAAATGAACCTATGACGATACCAGGTATTGATGATTTCTTTAATTTGGTGGAGAAAAGTCTAACAAGAATCATTTACTCAAAACTAAAACTAGATGTACGGAAAGGAAAATTTCTAGCCCTGTGATTAACAAAAGAAACAAGCACCAGGAGGCAGAGAGGATTCTACATTTGTGATGCTTTCAAATCAAGACACAATGCTGTTGTGAGGCATTTTCTACTCAGTCCACAATCAATCACAGAATGATGCAATTGTTTATGATGGAAAAGGCCTTTATGACCATTGAGTCCATTAGCCCAGCACTGCCATGTCCACCACTAAACTGAACCCCCAGAATCAGTTTTATGATTCAAGTATTCACAAATATGATTTCAAAATCTATTTCCCATGAATATTAAAATGTTCCTAAGTGCCACATATACACATATTTTAAACATCTCCAGGGGTGGTCACCCAAACACTTTCCTGGGTAGCCTGTTCTAATGTTTGTCAACCCCTTCCATTAAGAAATTTTTCCCAATATCCAATCTAAACCTCCTGTGGGGCAACCTGAGGCCATTTCCTCTTGTTCTACTGCTTGTTACTTGGGAGAAGAAAGCCACCCCCACCTCACTACAACATTCACAGAGAGCTCAAACATGAGTAAATTGTGGGGACCACTGTGGAGAAAAAAAACCCAAGAAGTCATGTAGAACATCAAAATGGCATTAACTTTTTGTCTTAATATCTATACACTAAGGAAAATGTGAGCTGTTATTTGCCTAAATAAGTAATCAATCTTAGTTTTTTAACCAAGAAAATAATCCCCATCCAAAACTAAGAAAAAAGAAAACAGACACAAAAAAAAAAGAACCGATAGTTCTGTACATAATTTCCAGTCCTTTTCCAGTGCAAGGCTTTGTAATAGGTAATGGGCTTTGTTCCCTAGCTTGCATTTAAGATTAATTCACAGTGAGAGCTTTAAGTCACTTCAAATACCCCGTAGCACTGAATTTCAAGATTTGTATTGAGTTCTCTGTAAAAACAAAGGATTCTACTCACAGGGGAATTTAAAACACCGTGGCATTACCAATTGTGGACACAATTAAAATAGTCATTACGATAAAGCAGCATAATATTCTTCTAAAAGCAAAAAAATGAGGCCTGCATTTGCTCAGCTTTTAAAAATCAAACAAAATCAGTACTGTTCTGCCTGCCAGATCATTATTTTTAAGTATGCAGCTAGCACCCCTCGTATTTCCAATTTAACATGAATCCCACAAGTGTTTCGTTCTAGAATGAGCTCATGGAGTTACTGCACATTAAGGTAGAATTTTAAGTATTTGAATAAATTTGCATAATCAAATATTTGTACATGGAATATAACTAATTCAGAATCGTATGCAACACACAGAGAAAATCTTTACATACTCTTACTTGTGATTTAACATGGAAACCTCTTTTGTTTCCAAACACGGCACTGATTTGTCAGCCAAGGATACATGAAAGAAGCTTGACATTTTAAACAATGCCTTTTTAAAATTATCAGACTGTAAACTAGTGACTGAACAGTTTTACAAAGTTGGAACACCTTTCCTCATGCTAATGCAACTACAAAGGCTGAACGACTTTTTTTTACTCTTGCCAAAATAACAGACCTGTTGTCCAATATAAAATGCTTCACCTCCACAATAAACAAAACAAACAAATTTTAAAAAGTTACAAAGTAGGAAAGAGCAGGAGAGCCAGAATCCTTGATCCTCCCCTAACTGAAGTATTACTGTTGAACGTCTGTAAGGCCAGGAAAGAAACTTCACCAGACAGGTAATTTAAAAGACAAAGTAGTGATTATTCTCTGTCTCGTTATAAAAAGCGCTCATTACATAGCTGTAAGTCAATGTACCTATAAGCTGGAGGATTTCCATCTAAAAAAAAGAAGGGGACAGAAAGATATTAAAACTAAAACAATCCACTGACAGTCAGGTGGATGTGGATCCAAACTACTTTTATGTAAAGAAACCTTATATAGATATGCATTGATTTTCTGTGTTCAGCGTATCTGAAATGAGATGCTAAAAATCTTACAGGGCATAGGATAGACCTACTTTTAAAAATCAGAAAATACAGAGAAAGATTAGTGGACTGGGCAGGGGGGGAGTTGTTGCACATTTTCAAAGTTCAAAGATGAGTGGAAAACCAAGTAATTGTGGCCAGTAATTAACTGAGCACCCTCAGTATCGAGAACATGGTAAGGAAGGCCTTTTGTTGAAATCTGCACTTTGCAAACTATTTCATATGCAAGCCAAACAAAATTTATTTAAATAAAACCAATAATGACTAATCTACATTTGTCTGCCCAGCTACAAATCATCCAATACCCCACCACCCTTCCCTCAGCCATTATTCCTCTCCTACCTTCAAAACTCCCAGCAAACAGATAAATCCACGTAATTGCTGGGACAAAAAGGATGGTCAGAGAGGCAGCCAGGAATTTCCGTCGCCCTCTGCAGATTCCCAGCATTCTCTCAGGAGTGCAGAATCCCAACCCAAGGCTGTTCCTATGTCGGAAGCAAATAGTCCACAGCCTCCCACATATTACTCCCTGAAAAGAAAGGAAAAAATATTTCAACAGCTTATCACTCTACAGAAAGTTATAGACTATGCCAGTGTTTCAAAAGACTTAAAAAACAGGGCTAAATAAGGGCTGCTGCAATTGCAAGGTGGTACCCATTTCAAAATTATCCACAACTACTTAATAATAAAGCAAGTTTTAGAAGTCAAATTAAGACAGTAAGTCAATAAAGCACATACACCTAAATACACACTAAGCTCCACCTCACCAAGAGATGTCAGCTTTATTTATTTATTTTTATTTGTCCTCATTTTACTTTACAGGAACTCTGAGATCTTTGATGCCTATGTGTGTTGGGGTCCCATGGCAGATAAGAGAAAGCCACCCACATTCCTTCACCAGCTCTCAAAGAGCAGAAGTCACACCACTGAATCAGCGATGCATTGCAATTGGTCATGAACTCAAGAGAGTGAACCAAGTGAACCAAAAAAAGGAAAGCTGAAGTTTAGGGGTAGAGAGATGTTACTGAAATTACCCACTTTGCACACCAAAAAGCAATGCTGATGAGCTGCTGTGTAAAAGGGGAGAAGAGAAAGAGCAAAATGGGCAAGGAAATACTCATATCCACATAGGGTATATCAGGAGCTTTTAGACTGTATGCCATGAGAAAAATTGATTCTACTGAATAACACAGTTTTTTATTAGGAAAAAAAAATCTGATCCTAATTTGAAATAATTGTTCTGCATTTCAGAGCGGCCAAGAAAAAAATATATGATGATTTTTATTCACAGGAAAACAAATATTCCCACACCAGTGCCGGCATGCAGAGCATAAAAATTATGTTTCATTTTGATAGCATGTTTTTTTGAAAGGGAAGGAAAGGCTAGTAGCAGACAAGTTAGAAAAGGAAAGAGAAGTATTCAGTCCATGCAAATCTATTTCAGGTTTTCTGTGAAAGGGCTTAGGTTTTTCAATTCTAAGAATAGCGTAGTCTACAAGAATGGTAGGGAAAGAAAGAGACTCTGGTAGTACAAGGTGTTTAATAACGGTGCCCTTTGACTTATGCTTCAACCAGCAGTTGAGCTGATACAAGCAATGTATCATTTCTACAGTGACACGTTAACAATGAGAGTGTCTTAGCTCTACAACTCCATATATATTGCAGCAAAAATCAATTCTGAAATTAAATTACAGCAAAAATGAGAATGTAGACAAGAGAAATAGGTTCAGACAAAAAGTCTCTTTCTTGTGCTGGAAATACCTGGCTGCAATAATCAGGCAAACTTACAGCTGTTCCTTGAACATTCAATAGAGCCCACTTTACTACACTACAGTTTAAGAGCCATGATAGTACTCTGACCTTGGAACTGATAAAATGGACTATAATTTGTCCAGAGCCAGCACAAAAAACATTCCATTGTGTCAGCTTTTCAAGGCAATGAATGCCTCACCACTGAGATTTTGCACAAAATATGTGGGCAGACTTAATATTACAACTGTGGTATTAGAGTCACTCTGTGTTAGACAGAGGCACACATTTGGTAGATAAATTGTGGAAAGCTCTTATCTTTACTCACTGTATTTGGATAATGATTACATTTCATTTCTTTTCCTTATAGCACATAGCTTGTACAACTCTGAAGAGAGTCCTTTACGTGCCTACTTGACAAACACTGATAATTTTCCAGGCTTCTGTGTTTATAAGCATGTATATTATAAAATGCACAGAAACACTTATTTTAAGTAGGAATTCCTTTTTTTCCTTAAATGTACTGGCATGCGCCACTGATGTCAGTCTGTGCAAAGAAAAATAAACCTCTGAAAATATACACTCCCAGGCACATTCATTGGCAAATAGCCACATTTTGCACTGAAACACGCACTGGCTGGACACTGCTCCTATCAATGACACCTGTAAAACTTACAGGTAACAAATTAGGAGTCAACACCACAGTTTTTGAAATCAAACTGTTACAAGTGTGCTGATACAAATTTCCAGGGCAAGGACATACAGACTCTGAGTTACAGCACTGCTAGTAGATTAATTCATCCTGGAGTGGCGTATTTAAGAAATAATTTGATTTTTCCTATACATTCTTTTAAATATCCATGCAAGTTAAGTTTCTGAACAGGTTGATATGGAGGATGGAATCCAGCTTTTCTGCTCTATGAACATAAATTACTCTAACAAATCAAAAAGGTATAAGGCACAACACCAGTTCAGCTGCGAAGGAAAGACAGAAATGTGGCAAATTCAGTTTTCTACAAATTGTCATCCTTCAGCCAAATCATTTTGCACATTCATGCGTATCTTTTATCTAACTAGAAAAACATTTGGGAAAAATCCTAAACAGACAAGTTAGCTTATGATGGATCACCCTAGGAAATGTTAAGATACGTCTTTTAACAGTGCTTTAAAAGAGCCATATAGCCACTTTAAATCACGCTTCTACAATATCCCCACCTTCCCAAAATTGTGAATAGCTTCCCTTGGGTCCTAAATATTCATTTTTTGTGTATAAAATCACAGCCCCTGCTGAGTACTTTTTTTCGAAGTAGACGATGCATCATGTGCAACCCTTACACAAGCGATTACATAAAAGGTCCATGAATGGTAATGAAGATCCTTGGCTTACAGGAAGAGATTTGGACTCAATCATGTATTCACTATTGGCTTTACTCAGAAACAATGTTACCTAATATACCACTGTCAAATAAATTGAAAGAAGACATTGCAGCTCTTTTGACTTGATTTTCTTTTCAACAGTGCCAGATTGACATCCACCACGGAAGGAAAGGGATTTGACACTGGCTGGACCAAGGGCTGAGCACAAAACACAGTTGCACATTTCTGCCATATGAGCCTGCAAATACCTTTCAGTATTCTCCTACAGTCTCCACCACTCCTCAGTAGGACTGCCACAGTCCCACTGAATCAGACTGTCACCTGCCTAAAAGCTCCTCAAAAGCAGTTTCATGGTACAAGCTAAAACTGAAGCTACTTCAGATGTGACATTGCTAGGCACATTGATCTTTTCAGTAAAATGGTTCACTTCATTTGCACAATGCCATGCAGTGCTCCTCCTGACAGTTTTCAGTCTCAACAGCTATGCTAACTAAACACCTGTACCCAGAAACACATGGCATGAAACATATCAGAAACTGTAAAACAAAGCATGAAGGAATAACCCAGCCAATTTAACCACAGCATCCAGGTGTGGTATTCTGATGAAAAAACAGCCAGAGTTGCTTCTTTCCTGTTGCCCAATGTTAGCATTTTTAGATCTGAGCCACAAAAAGCATCTGCAACTTTATCAATCCTTATTGCGTTTATCTCAAAGCAAGGGAGACCAAAATTGGACCCAGAGAGAAAGGGAGCATTTATGTTTGCAGTTTCAAACACAGTCCCAGCTACACCCCTCCAGCCACAATCAGATTTTCTGCTTGAGCCACAGATACTAAAAAGTGCATGCATTGCAAGATATTGTTCTACCTTCCTCTTTAATTGTGCTCCAAGAGCACCATATAATCATATTTTAGAAATATGATTCAGTAAATACTACCAACAAAAGCTAGCTGCATGTACATCATATGCATTATGCCTTGCTGTCAGTGTGCCAGGTGCTCTACACTTCTGGGACACACCGGTTCAGGATTTATAAAACCTACTGCACAGAAGCAGCTCCACAGACTCTGCTGTGACCAGGGGCCAGCTCACCCCTCCCAGACTGCTGCTAACCATGCTCCAAAAGGCTTGGACAATGACAGTGTGCAGAGTCACAGTGGGAACTAAAATAATTTGGGGTTCTCATTACTAAGACTTAGTCATGACTTTCCCACTGGACCAGAATGACCTTTCTTACCTTCACGTATAGTCAAGCGCTTCCATTAACTACACTAACTTACCAGAGGGGTTTCTTTGTTTTAAATTGTGGATTATCTCCTCAGCTAAGCATGAAGCAGCTAACCAGTATGAGCAGCACATATATTAAAGTATGTAACACAACACTAATCACATTGGTATTCAGTTTCTATATATTTATTTCTTTTAAAAACGGCATGAGAACTCGACTATGTCAGACATTCAGCAGGAGTTCTGTGAAACAATGGAAGTAATTATGAAAACAAAAATCAACACAATTAACTAGATTTAACTGCTCTACTATAAAAAGCTTTTCTAACTGCTTCAAACATTTCCTTGCATTTGTTACAGTTAATCTTTTCCCAGTAATCTTCCATTTGTCTTCAGAGCCACTGGAAATAAATATATACAGTTAAAGCTGTTTACACAGCAATCCTGTGCTTGGCTTTGTTGTGTTTTTAAAATTAATGTTATCTAATTCTTTTTGCTCTTACAGTCTCTCTGCTCTCTTTCTGCACACTTGCAGTCACAGAGTCAATGAACAATTTCTGCTGCAAAGCTTTTCCCTTGACTCTATATCAATGTGGCATTCATCCCTCATGGGAAATTTTTCAGATTTTTGTCAAAAACATAAATAACAAAGTAAAAAAGCAGTATCTTATGCAGTATTTTTCTGGGTTTTTTCACATGTTGGTAATGAGGGTTTATAATGAGTTTACTCCTTGACAGATTTTATCTTGCAGCTTTGCAGTCTTCCCATTATGGGAGCCGGTTGTCATGTGACATGGTAATATTAAAGAAAAGTTTGGTACCATAAAGGCAGGGTGCAGAGTAAACTCAATATGAAAAAATTAAATGATAAATCTTTATTTAATTAAACATTTCTCTGTTAATTTTCATGGTTTAAGCCCAGACAGGAACTAAATACAACACAGCCACTTGCTCCCCACACATCCTTCCAAAAGAATGCGGAGGAGAATCAGAAAAGGGGAAAACTCATGGGATGCGACAAGAACAGCCTAATAATTCAAATTAGGTATAACATTATTATTATTATAATCACCATTATTATTACAACAACAGCAACAGTAACTGTAATGAAAAGGAGACAGAGAAAGGAATAAAACCCAAGAAAAAGCAAGTGATGCCCAATACAGTTGCTCACTG